GATTTCAGTGGTTAAATGCAAATAATTCAAAATGCAGAGGTATTGCTATCAATAAGTGCCTTAAAGTTACAATGTCTTAATACTAAACATTTTAGGGTACTTGCCTCACCTTTTTTTTTTTGAGCTATGAAAATTTCTAAAGTTAATTAAATATTCATAACAATGTGGAAAAGTCCAGTTTAAGGCATTATGCACTACAGACACTGAATCGTGAAAATAAAAGGGATTCTTGTGTTCTGAATATTGAACATAAATTGTTAGATCCTTGTTCCCATAACTTCCTTTGGCTTACAAAGATCAAACTTACATGCGGATTCCCTGGTGTCTAATAATGTTACACTCTGGAAAACCTGGTGTGACAGCAGGCTATTTCAAGCCACAGTTGCTTCCATTAGCTGTTTGTTCATAGGAATAAACCATCCTTAACAACGATGATGAGACTTGATATGGAGAGTGAAGCCAATTGAATCCTTTTGAAATATACCTTCAGATTGCCATACCTTTGTCACTAAAGCTAAGATCAAGAAATAAATTCTGTAGGATGCTCATGATCAAATGATCTCTGCCTAACAAAGAACCAATGTGGCATAATGAGCAGTCAGATTTAGAACCTAGAAGACATGGGTTTAAGTCCTTTATCTAGCACATACTGGCTTTGTGATTCTGGGTCTGCCACTTAACTTCTCAGTATTCTAGATATCTCTTTAAGACTTTAAATTTCACAGAAGCTTCCTGCCTGTATTGGTAAAGAAAGTTTCTTTCTCTAAGACAACCCCTATACCAATAACATCAAAGCACAACCCCTACTCCACATGATATGGAGTTTTCATGGAATTTTGGTTTGTAAAGACTGCTAAAGATTGGCTATATAGTAACTCTAAGGGTGGAAATTTAAAGAGAACATCCCTATCATCTCCCACAAAGTTCAAATTCAGGCCACTGACCAAATCAGCAGATGCTTACAGGAAATTAGCTTATTTCTCTTAAAATAGGTGTTCTACCATGGAGCAAAGGTTTCAAAGACTAAAATTGGACTTTAGGCTAAGGCTCTGTAAATTGATAATGCTTGGGATGCAGGTGAGGGATAAAAATAGCCCAAATCCTATCACCTATTACGGTAATGTCCATCAGGAATGGCTACATCTCTTGGAATGGATTTAGGAAAGAGTAGGAAGGAGGAGAAATCTGGCTTCATCTACAAAGGAAAAAATCTCAGCCAATCCAGAGTTCACTCCTTGGTTGAGGTGGTCAGAGACTAGCCAGGCCAAAGTGATCAAATTAGAGCCTGAAGCCTCCAGCTTGTCCTCAGAGATGAGGACATTTTACTCTAATAGAAGCTTTTACCTACCCTCCAAAACCATGGTCCTCTATCTAAACTCACTTATGGAGATGATAAAGTGTCAATATATTTGTGGAAACAGTCCTCTTTTCATGAGGCTGGCTGTCTGATAGAACATAAGCTTCTCAAGGGTAAGATTTCTGTTCTTGTTTATGTATTCCCAATGCCCAGTATAGTGCTTGGCACATATATAAGGTATTTTACAAATGCTTGTTGATTGATTGATTGGCCAGATAAAAGCTAAGCTCTCTGTTCTGATCTGAGTTGGCCATACTTCAAAGAGTCAGTCTGTCATCAACAAGCATTTATTAATCACTTACTATGTGCCAAACACTGTGCTAAGTGCTGGGGATACAACAAAGAAAGGAAAAAACAGAGTGCTTTGAAAGTTGACGCTTCTTTTAGTCTTTAGTACCTCAGTGGCATCTTATTCTAAGGCTGGAAGCTTTTTCGATATACAACAGAATATCAAAGTTCTTTGGAGACCTCAGAAATAATTTTGTACGAAGCTATCTGAACAAGAGTGAATGCTCATTCAATTTCCTCATAAAGACCTCTAGTGAAAGTGAACCCACTCCCTACCCAGGCAGCCCATGATAAATTATACTACTTAGCAAATGCCTTGTCCATAGAAGATGTTTCTAGAAGGGAGGCAACAGTCCACTCCTTTTTGATCAGCAAGCATGAGTATGAGTACCCCCTCACACCATTTGTTATCTGTTAAGAAACCAAGGTCAAGATTCTAGGAGAGTGTCAATTTGTTAGAAAAATTAATTGGTGCAAAGACAGAAAGTTTAGTCAGGTTTCCACCAATCTCTTTAAAAAAACCTTAAGTAAATAACAATATGGTGTTAACAGAGATATTTCAGTCATTCCTGGTAAATGATGACTTCTAGATTAGTCAGAAATCAATCTCTGAGAAAAGTACATTTGACTCATTGGGTCAGAGGCTCCCAATAATTCATCTCAGAGCTCAGCGTGGCTGGTTGAAAGGTGGCAGTTATTTCTATGATCACTTCTTGTGGCAGCAAGTCATAGCAAGGACCACACCCTAGGTTGTCACGACTAGGTTATTTTCTCCTTAACCCTGCTCTGCCCCTCAACCAATCTCAAACTCCTTAGTCAGTACCCCTTCCTATGTTCCAATTACAAACACCATTGGCAATATTCTCCTTTCACATCTTCCCTCCTCCTGTGTAAGTAATTTCCAGACCTTAGAACCTAAAAAAGATGTTCTTCCCTACCAAAAGAATGAAGACCCCTCCATTAGTTAATGCATAAACTTATTTACCAAAGCATCTGCCAGAACTATTACTCCTCTAGGCAACATCTTGAAGGATTTTAGCCTTGTTGATTTACAGGTGACATATAGGCACCAAAATGTGCCCAGTGCATAGCTAATTGGGTCATTTTGAGAGAGAGAGTTCTTCAGGAACCAATAAGCAACTGCTTAAAGAGGGGCAGAACATATACATGCTTGTGCTGTCATTGACATGGTACCCATCTTTATGACCCAATCTTCATGAGAAGTTCCACTGAGTACATTATAGATTATCAAGTGGTAAAGAGAAACATTAGGCAGATTGTGCTTAGTAAATAGCGTGAGTTGTTGCTACATGGCTATTTGCTCTAACTTTTTGCTGATCCAATGTCACTTAAGATTGAAGTATTTTCATAAACGTGTGAGAGGAAGAATGGATGAACATGGCTAAAGAATTCCTTACTAGGTGGCCAACTTTCTAGCAATGAATCTGTTTATGTTGAGTCAGGATGGTCCTTTGGCATCAGACAAAGCCAACAGCTGAAACCATGTTTGCTTCTGTTCCAACTTGGTAACTTTCAATAGGCCAGGGTCACCTTCACACTCCAGTACCATAATGGAGTATCCAATTTACAAACATTCATTTAACTTTTGGTACCATTAATATGAAACCTTCACCTAATAACCAATGAAATAACAGATGGATAAGCTTCATTATAATTTGTATCAATGGAGGAAGTACCCCACAGTAACGCAATTATGCATTCACTGAAATAAAATAATAATGAATGAGATACAACTCTCTAAAATTCTCAAAGTAGTTTACATATATGATCTCATTTGAACTAATGAAGAAGAAAATATATTTGTTGTCATATTGGCCAATTAACGCATCAGTAAAGCTACTATCAGTCATTTTTCTTGAAGCAAATTAGGCAGAATAAAAATCAATGTATTGTGTTTTACAATCAAAACAAACTTTATGGTTTTCACTGGTCAACTAGGGCATAAAGTAAATGACGTTCTGTGTTCAAGGTACCACAGCTAAGTCAGCCACAGAGAAAACACTGAGCCACTTACAACTTGTGTGACCTTGAATAACAACTTGTCTAGTCCTCAATTTTCTCATCTACTAATTGAGGGGAGTTGGTCTAAGTGATTTCTAAGGTCTCTTGGATTTCTGTGATTCTAGTTTAAATCTCAGTATGATTTCTGATCCCTGTTTTCTACACAGAATATGTAAATGGCTTAGGAGTCCTGAGTTCTGTGTTCAAATCTGTTCTGCTTCTCTGACTTTAGGAAAGTCATTTAGCCTCTCTAGGCCTCATTTTACTCACATGTAAAGACGTGATTAATGGAGATTAATCCAAATGATCTCTAAAGTTGATTCTATTACCAATTGATATTTTGCAGACAATTACCCACAGGGAATATAAATTGGGTCCTTTTTTTGAGGACAATGGAATTAGCAGCAAACTGTTCTTTATTTAATATGACCCAGTAAAATCCTATTTGGAAGCCTTAATTTTTTTTTCTAGTTTCTTTATAAATTAGGGTATCCATGGTATAGGAAAAAAGATAGATGCCCTTCCTTTCTCTTTCTATTATATTGAAGGAGAAACAACATGATATAGAGGATAAGGGCTGGCTTTGGAAATAGTAAGACCTGTTTTCAGGTCTTGCTTCTAACACATACTAGCTATGAAGAAACAGGGGCATCACTAACCTTCTCAGGGTTCCTACACAGCTCTGTAAGATTAGTTACAGAGAGGATGCCGACTGGCCTCAGTGGAGGGAGTTTCTGTTGTGGGAGGTCCATACATGAATGAAATCAGAATTCCTTCAAAAGCAGTTATATTAATGAATTGTGTCATATTAATGCAGGGGGTTAGACTTTACTGAGCTTGCTCTCCATTCTGGGAATTTTTGAGAGCTAGTGAAATTATCAAGAAAATGAATTCATCATTTTGAAAAATGGGTGCAGATTTCAGAGCAGGTGCTAGAACACAAGTGGGCAGTGATTCTAGAACTAACTGGAATTACATTCTCTGTTTATAAAAGAAAAAGAGCATTGAATCTTCTATAGTCTCTCCCTGCACAGGCCCAATTGTGGTTTTTAAGTAAGAATAGCAGATAGATATGTATTCTAGAAGAAAGTAGCGGTACCATTTATATAGTGTAAAGTCATGCAAAGCATGCTCAAAATGAAGTGGCTTCCTTGTGGTGTCTTGAAAAAAAAATGCAGCTGTAAATCCCCGTGGAATGGTGCAGTGACTAATACTAACACATGCATTGAATGCAGCCATTGGTGTTCCAACTAGTAAGCTTTGGGTGTAAGTGAGCTATACAAAGTTTGTCTACATTACAAGGAGGGGCCATCCAGTGACCCCTCCTCCCCCTTTAAACTGGCTTGTTGGAAGGAGTCCATATGGAATCCGAAATCCCATCCCCTGTTGAAGACAAAGGCATAGAACCACTCGGGGTAAAGGGGTCTGTGTCTGTGTCGGTCTCTCCCTCGGCCAGATAACGTTTCTCTCTCATCCAGCTCGAGCCCCCATTTGGGCCAAAAAGGTAATCGTCTCTGTCCTGGGAGATGCTGAAGCCACTGGGTGAGCGTTCTAGTTCTTCATGGTTGACAGAGAGAAGGGACAATGGTGTATCACTGTCCCTGGTGAAGCTCCGTCTCTGCCGGGGTGAGATTTGTTCCTGGTAGGGGCTGTGTAGCTCAGCTTGGGAGTGGTAGCTCACCCGAGAGTCTAGGAGAGTGAGGATAGGCAAGACAGTGGGTCTTTCTGCATAGGGGACAGAGGAGGGGAGAGTCCTGGGGAGTTTCTCCCTCTCTGATGGCGGTCCTCCTCCTCCTCCTCCACCTCGAGGCAAGCTCACTGGGTCATGTGCAAAGAAAGCATAGGGGCTGACTTTGTTGACAGGAACCTGGTGGAAGCTGTAGGGGGTTTCATGGGTGCAGGGTTCAGAATAGTTGTAGATAATGGTTTTCAATTCAGAATACTTGTTCTCTTTCTTCTCCACCTCTACTGGGGTAGCAGTGGCCTTTTTGGTTGGGTAGTATTCTGTAACTTGTACTTGGAGCTGTTCCATGTGCTGCATGTGCATATCAACAAGAAAATCCAGTTTCTTCCCCATGTCATGAACCTGGGGAAAAAATGGAGAGAAATGTATTGGCCCATTCTTGATACAAGCTATCATTTTGTTGCTTAAGGCAAAAGATGTACCATGGGTCAGTCATTTAAACCTCATTGAGCCTCACTTTTGTCATTTGTAAAATGGGGATGATAATATCCACAATCCATATGCTGTATAGTTAGTTGTGAAGGTCAAATGAGATGAAGTATGTAATGTGCTTTATCAACTTTAAAACATTATATAAATGTTAGTTATTATTCACTCTGACACTTAGCCATCACTCAATAATGATAAAAATTGTCATGTTTACAATGTATTACACTTTAAATTTATAAACTATGTTTTTGCTAACAACCTAGTGCACCATTATTTTATTTATTTTAAAAAATTATTAGCAATATTTTATTTTTCCAAATTTCATGTAAAAATAATTTTAAACTATTTTTTAAGTTTGAATTTCAAATTCTCTCCCTTCCCAAGATGGAAAGCAATTTGAGACAGGTTATAGATATGCAATCATGCAAAACATATTTCCATATTAGTCATGTTGTAAAATAAAAAACAGAAAAAATTAAGAAATTGGAAAATAGTATGTTTTGATCTGTATGCAGACTCAATCAGTTCTTTCTCTGGAAGTGGATAGCATTTTTCATCATGAATCCTTTGGAATTGTCCTGGATCACTGTATTGCTGAGAATAGCTAAGTTATTCACAGTTGATCATTGCATAATGCTGCTGTTACTGTATATAGTGTTTTCCTGGTTCTGCTCACTTTACTTTGCATTGGTTCATGTAAATCTTTCCAAGTTTTTCTGAAATCATCCTGCTCATCATCTCTTATACCACTATAGTATTCCATTACTATCATATACCACAACTTGTTCAGCCGTGTCCCAAGTGATGAGTATCCCCTTAGTTTCCAAATTCTTTGCCACCACAAAAAGATCTGCTATAAATATTTTTGTACATAAAGATCCTTTTCTTTTTTCTTTAATCTCTTTAGGATAAAGACCTAGTAGTGGTATCACTGAGTCAAAGGGTATGAACAGTTTTATAGCCCTTTGGTCATAGTTCCAAATTGCCCTTCAGAATGGTTGGATCATTTCACAACTCTACCAACAATGCATTGATGTCCCAGTTTTCCCACATTTCTCCCAACAACATTTATCACTTACATTTTCTGTCATATTAGCCAATCTGATAGGTGTAAATGGTACCTGAGAGTTATTTTAATTTGCATTTCTCTAATCGATAGTGATTTAGAGCCTTTTTTCATGTGACTACAGATAGCTTTGTTTTTTTCCTCCGAAAACTGCCCGCTCATATCCTTTGATCATTTGTCAACTGGGGAATGACTTGTACTCTTATAAATTTGACTCAGTTTTCTATATAATCGAGAAATAAGGTTTTTATCAGAGATACTTGCTTTAAATTTTTCTCTTAAGCTTTCTGTTTTTCTTCTAATCTTGGCTGCATTGGCTTTGTTTATATAAAAACTTTAAAAAATTAATATAATTTAAATTATCCATTTTACATTTCATAATGCTATCTCTTATTTGGTCAGAAATTCTGCCTTTATCCATAGATCTGACAGGTACACTATTCCATGCTCCCCTAGTTTATCCATGGTATTTTAGTGCAGTATTGTTAACTTCATTTTACAAATAAGGAAATAATCTCCTAGAGGTCAAACCAGAGGGAACTAATGCAAAGAGTCCTAATTTTGAGGTAAGATAACTTATGTACAAATTCCTATTCTGCTACTTTCTGGCTATGTGACCTAGGGAAAGTCACTTCTCTTCTGTGAACTCAGTTTACCAATTTGTAAAATGTTTTAGTTGGATTAGAGGATCCCTAAGGTCCCTTTAAACCCTAAATTATACAGTTGTAGGTCATATAGCCAGAAAGTAAGGAAGCTAGGTATTGAACCCAAACAGTCCTCTGATTTCAGGTCCCTTGCTTTGACCATCTGGCTTTAACCTCAAAGAAATGGTCCCTTAATGATCATTCTTTTTTTAATGACTATATCTCCGCTCTCACTTATTTAGTGAAAACCTATAATGTATTTAGTGACTAGGCAGAGGACACTCAGGCACATCTAATGCTTGGATGGAATATTGCTTCCATGTGGACATATCCCTTCAGAAAAGGAACTTTGGGTGAGTGGGCACATCTACCACAAAGATGAACATTCTCCTTCTCTGAAACCCTTTCCTCCCTTGGGAATCATAACCTTGTGTTTGTAATATGGTTACGTAAGTCAGAGACTAATGTTAGATCTCATTTCTAACCCAATCTGAGCTGCCTAGCGAAGTTCTTTCCACATCACTGTGGTCTTAAGTTATATTAAGTTAACTTAATGACTCTTGTCCAAATTTTCTCAATTTCTAAATAAGTAAGGTCAGACTCAATGATGTTTTATGTATTCAAATATATCTTATCCTACCACTATGGGAGACTTGACTTTTTAACCTTGCTTAGTCATGTATTTTTTTATTTTGTGGAACTGATTGAAGACTCGAGGAGTAGTTCAGTGTAGGTGATATAGCAGTGGACTCAAAGTCCAGAAGATTCGAGTTCAAATCTTTCCTCAGAAACTTAATATTTGTATTGTTGTTGTTGTTCAGTTGTTTCAGGAGTGTCAGACTCTTCACGACCCCATTTTGGGTCTTGGCAAAAATAGTGGAATGGTTTGCCATTTTCTTTTCCAGCTTATTTTACAGATGAGGAAACTGAGGCAAATAGGTTTAAGTGACTTGCCCAGGGTCACAAAGCTAATAAGTGACTCAGGCTGGATTTGAACTCAGGTCTTGACTCTATGCCTGGTGCTCTATCCACTGTGCCACCTAGCTGCCGTTAATATCTGTGTGTCCATGGGCAAGTCAGTTAACCTATTTCAGTCTCAGTCACCTCATCTATAAAGTTGGACTCAGATCACTGCTAAGGTTCTTTTCAACTCTTTATCTATGATCTTATGATTCCTATGTCCAGTGGAGTAACATTATGTTCAGAAGATAAGATTATGTGAGACAATGACATAGAAACATTTCTTCAATGCCATAAATTGCATTCTGAACCCACCTGTCTTTCGACTTTGACGAATTTCCCCATCATGCTTTGGTCTTCAATTTCGGATGAGGGTGCTTTGGCTACATACGGATCGTTTCTAGGAAAGAATCAAGAGTTCCATGAAAGCATTGCATCCTAGTCCATTCTGCAATGTTACATATATCTTTGGCAGCTCAGGGGACCTAATGTCTTCATACCCATTCCTGCAAAGTTATATGGATAGGTGATTTCCCTAAGATACTCATAAGACTCAATAGTTCAATTTGAGTTAGGAAAAAATTTACATTCTCCTCTCCTCAATTTGACTTTGAAACTAGTGGATAGAAATTCTGTGCTTTACTGAAAGACAATGACAACTGGAGCCGAAGTGGGTAACAAATGAACCTCCCTCCCCCTCCCTCTATTTGTGTGTATGTGTGTGTTATTTGTGGCACAATTTTAGATCATATGGTGGAAAGATTTTATGATTTCAACTCTGAGGACCCAACTCAGCTAATTCTGATTCTGCTAATCCTATGATTCTAGAGATATCCTAAGGACAATTAAAAAACACTAGCTATTCAAAAACATGGTGGTAACTGGTGGTGCAGTAGATAGAGTACTTGATTTAAGAGACCTGCTTTCAAATCTGGCCTCAGATACTCATTAGCTGTGTGAACCAGATAACCTCTGTTTTCCTCAGGTTCTTCAACTGTAAAATGTATATAAAAATGTGAGAATCAAATGTGATAATATTTATAAAGTGCTTATCCCAGCATCTAGCACATAGTGCCATAATTTTAACTTAGATTTCTGTAGTGTTTTAGGGTTTGTTAACTTTTTCTTCCCCCTTCCGGAGGTAGTCAGCCTAGGTGATTTGATGATCATTTTCAAAATGAGAAAAATAATGTTAGAAAGAATGAAGTGACTTGCCCAGCCAGGATTCAAACTTAGGTCGAAACTTAGACCAGGGTTCTTGTCACCAAACTATGCTGCCTATCATATATTATACTTCAAGCAAATATGCTATATGAAAGTCTTCATTTTTCCAAATGAAAAATCACTTTGCAAAAGGAATTGCCATAAGATTTCTTTAAATGCAAACTACCCTTTTGCATTGAAGAAAGGATTTCCACTTACAAGGACCCAGGTATTACATAAAATTCTCTATATGAGTTCCTTGGTTCTATTCATTCTCCTTATCACTTCTGGGGAACAGTGAATCTCCACACCCTAAAAGTTGAGACCCAGGGTTGCTCATGGAGTAGTGACTCTGGTAGCTCTGGGTCAGGCCATTCCTAGTAGCAAACCTTGGAGACTGCTGGGAAGGATAGGTGAAAGCTCCGCCTCGTTGGGATTTCTTGTGTTTTGGAGTAGACGGAGGTCCAGGGGTGAAGATCATATCTACTCTGAAAGAGAGAAAGAGAAAGGAAAAAATAAGAAACACTATTCCAAAGAACTTACTTGAGACACTGGACCACTCACTACACAAAATAAAGCAAGGATTGTAGATCTACATGCAAGAATATTTATCACCCCAATACATCATCCATTTAGGCTGGGCAAAAATAGCTTCTTATTATTATGGAGAACATTGTGGGCAGAGCCAGAGACAGGAAGATAGATGCATCTTCTTATTCTCTTAGCAACCTTAATATATTAAACTCTAAGCCTAGCTCATCTTTGGCTTTTCTTCCCCCTAAGATATCTAGTTAGGGAGATTTTTACTGCCAACTCTAAAGGACCTGTGTTTAGCGGCATGAATCTTTTTTAGTTCCCTAGACTTTTGTTGGTCATTAGAATGATGGATCTGACAATATTCTGCTGGCATAATGCTTTCATTTCCTGCAACCCACACCATTTCATGATCCTCATTCAGTGGAGCAGAAATGAAACCTCTTCTGCCTCTGCTCCATAATTCTGTTTGGGCAGTAGTCTAGGATTCTGTGCTGTCCTCAGGCTCACTAAGATGGTGCACAGAGAAATGGTCTCTGAGTCTATAATTGTCTGTGCAATGGCCTCCTTTTGTCCCTTTCCAGAAAATACAGCAGATTTGCACTGTGATAAATACAGAAGAATGTAAAATCTTCTTGAGGCTAGGAATTATTTCTTAGTATCCCCAGATGCTAATGTGATGCTTTGCACTTAGTAGGCAACTAACAAATGTTTATGCAATTGAAATCATGCATTTTCAAAACTTTACTTGGGTTTGGCTTAAGAAAAGCCATAAAATTCAGTAGAGTGATAATCAGGCACCAGCATATCCCTCCCTCCCCTCCCAACACCTCATTCACATAGAAATACTTCTATCCATTAATATAAAAGGCAGCAGAGATGTAACATTTGACTCTAAAATCATTATATTTGACTGGTATTGAAAGAAACTTTAAGGATCTATCTTGCTTTATTGAATCAAGTGCCTTTTTAAAAAATAGTCAACAAATAATAAACATAGTAGGATGTCGAATTTCCTACATGTTTTAGTCAATTTTTTGATGGTAAAGATGTGTTCTGCTCTGGAATGCCTTTGCCTCACCATGCTTGCCTTCCAAGTGACTAGATCATTACCACGGAAATTTTATACAGATGGGGAAGTAGGCATACACGTTTAGAATTATTGATAATTACTTGGTTGCCTTTTTTGGGGGGGCTGGGAGGATGTCAGGCAGAAGTATCAAACACTTGGTCAGTGAGCTGAATGAGGCCCACAAAATTCTTGAGGGTGGCTGAAGTAGTTAAAAATCTAGTTCCTATCTGATTTTAATGTGCTGATGTATTAACAACAAAAAAAGATATATAAATGTGTAGTTTTCTATGTCAATATGCAACCCACAGGGAGCCTTGTGTGTGGATCGGTCAGTAGCACCATTTCTTTTTGAGTTTGACACCTCTGGTGTAATGGATAGACATTTTGAAACCAAGAAGACCTGGGTAAAAGTCTTGCCTCTAACATTTACTGGCTTCGTGACTCTAGGCAAATTATTTAACACCTCAGTGCTTTAGGGAGCTCTCTACGACTATAAATTACAGAGAAAGTTGCAGACTCATTAGTAGAGGGAATTTCCTCCCCTGAGAGTTCCCTATACCATTGAAATTACAAGTCCATTTCTTATTCCTTTAACTCTTTGGGGGGGATAATAATGAGAGTTAAGATTTTCTCTACACCCTTGCTATCTTTCCCTCCTTCATATACACTGACAGTTGAACCCCATCACAGCAGAAGCTGCTACTTGAGGGGTGATTGGTTTTTGCTCTTTCTTACTATCCCCAGGATTTAGCATAGTATCTGGAGAATTAAAGTGCTTAATCAATGCCTATGGATTGATTGATTGATCGATCGATTGATTGATCCCTCAGTGCTTTCAAAATTGTGCTGCCTCTATCACGGACCTTCTACAGGTACTTTTAATCTTATTCAGAATATCACTGAAGAAATATATGAGCAAAAATAAGGGCTTGTCATTTGTAAACAATAATAATATTGAGATGCAGTCTGGCTTAATGCATGGAGCATTGGATATGGAGTCAGGAAGACTTAAGTTCTAGTCTTTCCTCCCTAATTGTATGACTTCAAATAAGTCACTTAACCTCTCCCAGGCTTAGTTTGCTCATCTGTAAAATGGGAATAATAACAGCATCAACCTCCCAGGCTTTTGTGAGGCTCAAATGAGATTTGCTCTTTGTGAACCTTAAAGTTTCATAAATGTTGGTGATCTCATATGATATCTCATTGGCAAGAGTGAAGGATAAATATTGGAAAGCCCAGCTGCTTAACTGGTATCTTCTTTTTATAATTTAATATTTTATTTTCCCCAATTACATGTCAAGACAATTTTTTTACATTCTTTTTTAAAAATTAATTTATTTCTAGTTTTCAACATTCACTTCCACAAAATTTTGAATTCCAAATTTTCTCCCCATCTTATCCCTCCCCCAAGATGGCATGCATTCTGAATACCCCTTCCCCTAATCTGCCTTCCCTTCTATCTCTCCCCTCTTTCTCTTATCCTCTTCCCCTTCAATTTTCCTGTAGGGCAGGATAGATTTCTATACCTCATTGACTGTATATCTTATTTCCCAGTTGCATATGGAAACAATTTTTTTAACATTTGTTTTCAAAACTTTGGGTTCCAAATTTTCTCTCTTCCTCCCTCCCCACCCACCCTCATTGAGAAGGCAAGCTACTCAATACAGGTTATACATATGTAGTGATGCAAAATACTTCCATAGTAGTCATGTTGTGAAAAACTAAGTATATTTCCCTTAATCCTATCCCACACCCCATTTATTCTATTCTCTCTTTTGATCCTGTCCCTCTTTAAAAGTGTTTGCTTCTGATTTTCCCCTCCCCCAATCTGCCCTCCCTTCTATCATCCCCCTGCTTTCTTGTCCCCTTGCCCCTTCCCCATTTTCCTGTGGGGTAAGATAGATTTCCATACCCAATTGAATGTGTATGTTATTCCCTCCTTAAGTCAAATCTGATGAGAATAAGATTCACTCATTCCCTCTCACCTTCCCCTGTTTCTCCTCCACTGTAAAAGGCTTTTCTTATCTGTTTCATGTGAAATAATTTACCCCATTCTACCTCTCCCTTTCTCCTTCTCCCAATATAATCCTCTCTCATCCCTTAATTTTATTCTCCAGATTCCTTTCCTTCACCTTCAACTCATCCTGTGCCCTCTATTTATCTATCTATCTATATACATACATAGATACATACATACATACATACATACATACATATAATTTTCCCCTCCAACTACCCTAATACTGAAAAAGGTCTCATGAGTTACAAATCTTTCCATGCAGGAATATAAACAGTTCAACCTTAATATGTCTCTTATGATTTCTCTTTCCTGTTTACCCCTTCATGTTTCTCTTGAGTCTTGTATTTGAAAGTCAAATTTTATATTCATCTCTGGTCTTTTCATCAAGAATGCTTGAAAGTCTTCTATTTCACTGAATGTCCATTTTTTCCCCTGAAAGATTATACTCAGTTTTGCTAAGTAGGCTTCTTGGCTATAATCCTATCTCCTTTGACCTCTGGAATATTATATTCCAAGCCCTCCAGTCCCTTAATGTAGAAGCTACTAAATCTGACTGTGTTTCCACAATACTTGAATTGTTTCTTTCTGGCTGCTTCCAATATTTTCTCCTTGACATGGGAACTCTGGAATTTGGCTACAATATTCCTAGGAGTTTTCCTTTGGGGATCTCTTTCAGGAGGTGATTGGTGGATTCTTTCAATTTCTAGTTTGCCCTCTGGTTCTAAAATATCAGGGCAGTTTTCCTTGATAATTTCTTGAAAGATGATGTCTAGGCATTCTTTTTGATCATGGCTTTCAGAAAGTCCAATAATTTTAAAATTATCTCTCCTGGATCTATTTTCCAGGTCAGTTGTTTTTCCAGTGAGATATTTCACATTGTTTTCTATTTTTTCATTCTTTTGATTTTGTTTTACAGAGTCTCGATTTCTCATAAAGTCATTGGCTTCCAATTTCTCCATTCTAATTTTGAAGGAAGTATTTTCTTCAGTAAGCTTTTAGACTTCTTTTTCCACTTGTCCAATTTTGCTTTTTAAGGAATTTTTCTCTTCATTGACTTTTTGGACCTCTTTTGCCATTTGGGTTAGGCTATTTTTTAAGGTGTTATTTTCTTCAGTATTTTTTGGGTCTCCTTTAACAAGCTGTTGACTTGTTTTTTCATGATTTTCTGGCATCACTCTCAGTTCTATTCCCAGTTTTTCCTCTACTTCTCTTACTTGCTTTTCAAAATCCTTTTTGAGCTCTTCCATGGCCTGGGACAGATTCATATTTTTCTTGGAGGCTTTAGATGTAGGATCTTTGACTTTGTTGTCTTCTGGTTGTATGTTTTGATCTTCTTTGTTGCCAAAGAAAGATTCTATGGTCTGACTATTTTTTTTTTGAGGTTTGCTCATGATCCCAGCCAATTACTTGAGTTATAAACTGTTTGTTAAGGTAGGGGTCTGCTTCCAGCATGAAGAATGTACTGTCCTAAGCTTCAGGGGTTTTGTGCAGCTGTTTTCAGAAATACTTCTAGGGACCTGTAAATTTTTAGTTCTTCCAAGGTGGTATGATAAGGGGCGAGGTGTTTACTTCTTTCCTGGCCTGGGCTCTGGTCTATGAGTGACCACAAGCACTCTTTGCTGCCTTGGAACTGTGAGGAGGATTCCATCTCTACCACCAGTACAAGCTCCACCACGCCTGCACTCCTCCTTGCCCCAGGATCGTTACCTAGAACTGTGACCCAGATCCAAGCACGGGCAAATCAAGAGAATCCTGCACCAGCAAAGAGATCCCTGCAATCCCCCTCTGATCAGCCACTCAATTCCCCCTTAGTCTGTGGGCCAGAAGCCCAGGAAGCAGCCGTTGCCCTGGGGCCATGCATGAGGACTAGGACTGGGACCAAGCTTCTCTCTCATCAGGGTCAAAGACTTTTTCCACTGACCTTCTAAGTTGTCCTTGGCATTCGTGAGTTGAGAAGTCTGGAAACCACCTCAGCTGCCTGTGATTCAGTCCTCTGAGGCCTGCTCCAGGTTCCCTGAGGCATGTTTTTCCTATGCGCCCGTGCCAAACTGTGTTCCTGTCCCCACCAGGTGTGATAGACCTTTCCAATCAACCATCCAGGTTGTCTTGGGCTGGAAATTTGTTTCACTCTGTCTTTTTGTGGGTTCTGCTGCTTTGGAATTTGTTTAGAGTCATTTTTTATGGGTATTTGGAGGGATTTGGGGGAGAGCTCAAGCAAGTCACTGCTTTTACTCTGTCATCTTGGCTCCCTATTCTTTTTTTTTTTTAAGGTTGTTTCCATGTTTATTTCTCCCAAAGTGGGTGGCATGCGTGGGTCCATGCATGGGAGCTGCAGTTTGGAATTGAACTCACTTTAGGGTTAGAGTACACAGTTTATGTAACTTTCCAACAGAGGCTGATATCATTCTATCATCATTTCACCTCTGGACAGAGAAAATATCTCTATACCAAACCACTCCCAGCCATACTGGACCACTCCTAGACAAAAGAATCTCCACTCAAGTCTGAGTAGAACACAATTGTTAGCATTCATTTTTACAAGATTTTGAGTTCTAAATTTTTCTCCCTCCTTTCCCTCTCTTCCCCTCCCCTCTTCCTAAAATGGTAGGCAATTTGATAAAGGTTATACATATGCTGTCATATAAAACGTATTTCCATATTAGTCACAGTTGTGAAAGAAGAAATGGATCAAAAGGAATAAGAATAAAGTTAATGAAAAAAAGTATGGTTTGATCTGCATTCAGAGTCCATCAGCTCTTTATTTGGAAATGGATAGCATTTTCCTTCATGAGTTCTTTGTACTTGTCTTGGATCATTGTGCTGCTGGGAAGAGCTGAGTCATTCATAGTTGATCATCACACAGTATTGTTGATATTGTGTACAGCATGTTTCTTGTTCTGCTCATTTCACTTTGCATCAGTTCATATAACACTTTTTAGATTTTTCTGAAATCTCCCTGTTCATCATTCCTTATTGCACAATAGTATTCCATTTAATTCATATACCATAGTTTATTCAGCCATTCCCCAGTAGATAGGCTTCCCTTCAATTTTCAATATTTTGCCACCATGAAAAGGGCCACTATAAATATTTTTGCATATGTAGGTCCTTTCCCCTTTTTCATGATCTTTTTGGGATACAGATGTAGTAGTGGTATTGCTGGGTCAAAGGGTATACATAATTTGATTGCCCTTTGGGCATAGTTCCAAATTGCTCTCCAGAATGGTTGGGTCAGTTCACAACTCCACCAACAGTGCATTAGCATCTCAATTTTCCCACATTCTCTCCAACATTTATCATTTTCCTTTTTTTGCCATATTAACCAATCTGATAGGTATGAGGTGGTACCTCAAAGTTGTTTTAATTTACATTTCTCTAATCAAAAGTGTTTTAGAGGACTTCTTCATATGCCTATAGATATCTTTGATTTCTTCTTCTGAAAACTGCCTGTTTATATTTGACCATTTATTAATTGGGGAATGGCTTGTGTTCACATAGATTTGATACACTTCTCTACATATTTGAGAAATTAGGCCTTTATCAGAGACATTTGCTGTAAAGATTGTTTCCCAGCTTTCTGCTTTCCTTCTAATCTTGGTTGCATTGGTTTTGTTTGTGCAAATGCTTTTTAATTTAATATAATCAAATTATTGATTTTATATTTTGTAATGCTCTCTATCTCTTGTTTGGTTATGAATCTGTAACTTATGTAACTTCTTTAAGAATTTAGATGCTATACCATTTGGTACATGTATGTTTGTACTGATATTACTTCATTGTCTGTACTACCTTTTAGCAAGATGTAGTTTCCTTATCTCTTTTACTTAGGTCTATATTTTGCTTTTGCTTTGTCTAAGATCAGGATTGCTATCTCCGCTTTTTCTCCACCCTAGCTCTTACCCTTTACTCTGTGTGTATCTCTCTGCTTCAAGCGTGTTTCTTGTAAAAAACATATTGTAGTATTTTGAGTTTTGCTCCCTTCTGCTATCCACTTCCATTTTATGGGAGAGTTCATCCCATTCATATTTACAGTTATGATTACTAACTGTGTATTTCCCTCCATCCTATTTTTCCTCCTGTTTCTCCTTTCACCCTTTCCCTTCTTGATAGTTTTTCTCTTCTGTCTACTGGCTCCCCTGGTCTGCCCTCTCTTCTGTCAGTCTCCACCACCCCCTCCCCCCCACTTTTACTTAATCTCCTCCCCTCCTACTTTCCTGGGTAAGATAGATTTTTATATTCAACTGATTATGTTCATTATTCTCTCTTTGAGCGAATACTTATGAGGCTAAGGTTTAAGTGATGCCCATCAACCACCCTCTTATCTTTCCCTCCACTCTAATAGGTTTTTTGTGCCTCTTCATGTGAAATAATTTACCCATTCTACCTCTCCCTTCCTTCTGCACCCAATGTACTCCTCTTCCTCATTCCTTAGTTATTTTTATGTCATTCCCTCAAATTCACCTTATATCCGTATCTTCTGTATATGTATATTCCTTCTAGCTGTGCCATTAGTTGTAAAATTTTTAAGAATTTCAAGTATTATCTTCCCATGTAGGGATGTAAACAGTTCAGCTCCATTAAATCCCTTATGTTTTCTTCTCCTTTTTTACCTATTAGGCTTCTCTTGGATCTTAATATTGGAGATCAGTGTTCTGTTCTGGTCTTCTCCTAATGAAAGCTTGAAATCCTTCTATTTCATCAAATGACCATTTTTTTCCCTTGAAGTATTATGCGTAATTTTGCTGCGTAGGTGATTCTTGACTGTAGTCCTAGCTCCTTTGCTTTCTGGAATATCATGTTCTATGACCTCTAATCCTTTAATGTTGCAGCTGCTAAATCCTGTGTAATCCTGATTGTAGCTTCACAATATTTGAATTGGTTCTTAGTCATGTTGTGAAAGAAAACACAGACAAAAAAGTCAAGAAAAATAAAGTAAAGAAAAAGTATGCTTTGATCTGAGTTCAAAATCCATCAGTTCTTTCTCTGGAGGCAGATAGCATTTTTCATCCTGAGTACTTTGGAATTGTCTTAGATCATTGTATTGTTGAGATTAGCTAAGTCATTCATAGTTGATCATTGTATAATGTTACTGTTACTATATACAATATTGTCTTGGTTCTGCTCATTTCACTTTGTATCAGTTCATATAAGTCTTTCCAGGTTTTTCTGAGAGTATCCCGTTCATCATTTCTTATAGCACAATAGTATTCCATCACAATCATGTACACTTTGTTCAGCCATTCCCCAATTGATGGACATTCCCATAATGTTTAATTAATAGCCACTACTAAAAGAGCTGCTATAAATATTTTTCTACATATAGGTCCTTTTACTTTTTTATCCCTTTTGGATACAGACCTAGTAATGATATTGCAGGGTTAAAGGTTATGCATAGTTTTATAGCCCTTTGGACATAGTTCCAAATTGCTCTACAGAACAGTTGAATTGATATATCACTTCAACTGGTATCTTCTTAATATAAAAGGAAATCAAGGAAGGCCTTCAGGACTTTGAATGAACTCCCTGTGGGGAACTGAAGGGAGGACACAGATAAATTATACAGATCAGGTAGGCATAAATGGATCATTATCTTCCTTGTTGGAGGGAATACCCACAATAAGTAGGGTACAGACCCAACTGAGTATTGGAGAAGGTAACTTCCTGCTCTATATGTGCCATCTTCCCTTTCTTTAGACTCTCAACCACCATCCATAGAGATAATATTTTGAGACTCTATAAGAATAGTAGCTAAAGGCTGGTTTTAGTGCAAATCCATATGAAAAAAATCAGATCCCTTCCAATCTAGTCCAATCCAATTTAATACAACAACCATTTATTAAGTACCTACCCTGTGAACATCTCTACAGGTGTCTCTGATCTCAAGAAACTTTTACTCAACTTCACATATAGCCATGATCTTTCAATAGCAATTCTAAAAGGCCAACAAAGAAGACCACCATCTTAAATCCATCACAATCATATACAACTTGTTCAGCCATTCCCCAATTAAAGGGCATCCCCTTGGTGTTTAATTCCTAGCCACTACCAAAGGGGCTGCTGCCAGACACAGAAAGGTTGTGTGATTCACCTAAATTCATCGAGCAAGTCAGGAATCCAGCCTAGACTATAATCCATATCTCTTGAGTTTCAGTCCAGAGTCATATTGTCCTTTACCTCAGCCATCAAGTTCTATGTGACACCTATTCTATAACTGGCATTGAAGACCTGCCAGGAGGGGAGTCAATGCAGGCCAGGTGTGGTGAAGCATGCCTTTAGTTCCTGCTACCAGAAAGGCTGGGGGTGATGGGTCACTTGAGCTCAGGAGTTCTGAGATGCAGGAGGGCTAATAATTTGATGTCTATACTAAGTCTAGCATCAATAGAGAGGGAAGGAGGGAGGGACAGAAGGAGGCACAGAGGGAGGAAGGAAGGAAGGAAGGAAGGAAGGAAGGAAGGAAGGAAGGAAGGGCAGAAAGGCAAAGAGAACCATGATAAATCATCAAGGGGAGTTTCCTCTTGTCCTTACTCCTTACATTTCTTGTGTCTCATGGCAATTTCTGGCCTTCCATTCATTTGAAATTCTTGTAAACAGCTCTGCTTCTTGCTCTGACATGCTTGTCTTACCTTGTCTGAAGATACTTTATTCTGGAAAGCATATCCAGATGTCCTGCAGAATACTGTTCGATAACATCCTTTACGTCATAAGGCCTCAAAGTCTCCTTGAACTTTTTTTTGTAGAGACGGAATTGCAGTATTCTGTATGTGAACAGGAGAGAGAAGAATTAGAGAGTTAGTGCAGTCCAGGTGTGGTGGAACACACCTTTAGTTCCTGTTGCTAGGGTGGTTAAGGCTGATAGATAGCTTGAGCTCAGTAGTTCTGAGCTGCAAGAGGGTGATAGCCAATTTAGTGTCTGTATTAGGTCCAGCATCAATATGGTGATCCCTGGGGAGTGGAAGCCCTCCAGGCTGCCTAAGGAGTGGTGAGCCTGCACAAATTGGAAACAGAATGGATCAAAGTCCTCATGCTGATGAGAAGTGGGTTTGTGATCATAGGTAGCTATTGTAGGAAAGAGAGAGAGAGAGACAGAGAGACAGAGAGAGAGAGAGAGGAAGGAAGGAAGGAAGGAAGGAAGGAAGGAAGGAAGGAAGGGAGATAAGGAGGAAGGAAGGGAATGGAAGGAACAGAAAGGCAAAGAGATTTGATAAGTAACCCAGTCACCTTTCGCATTCAATCAGTTACCAAATCTTCTTGATTATGTAACTATAATTTCCCTCCCATTTGAGTCATCCTTTAAATTCCCCTGCCACCACTATAGTACAGGAACTTATTTTCTTCCACATAGACAATTTCAAAGCTTCCTAACAGTACTTCCTACTTCCTCTCTTTTCCTCTTTTCAATCCATCTTTTATACCATTGCCAGAATAATTTTCCTTTTATATAAATGTAGTCTCTAAAAAAACCTTCAGTGACTGTATTGCCTTCCAGTTGAATGAAATTAATATCTGTTACCACTCTTGTTTTGTGCTCTTTTCTCATAGCACAGTTGTATAGGCAGCTGGCCTTTAAGTCAGAAGACCTGAGTTCAAATTCTGCCTCTGGCATGCTGGCTATTTGACCCTGAGCAAGTCACTAAACTTCTCAGTGCTCTAGACAACTCTTTGAGGCAACAAAGTTAAGAAGGCGCTGACCCACACTGATAGAGGGAGTTTTCCTCACCTGTGAATTCTCTATGCCAATGAAATTCTAGGTCCACTTTCTCTCCATATCCCTTGTAGTGCTCCTCTCTATGCACTCTCATTTCCAGTCAAACTGTACTGTTCTCTGTTTCTAAAAGTGCCCCATGTTCTCCTGAATCTGTTCCCTGAACCTGGAATGTCTCCACTTCTCATCTTCCCAGTCAGTTCCTGCTATAAAGCCCAACCCAAATTTCATTTCCTCCATGAAGTAGCAACGCTGTGAAGAGCTCGGCATATAGTCAGGAAGACGAGTTCAAACCCCACTTCAGACACCTACTAGCTGTGTGACCTTGGGTAAGTCATTTAATATTTAGGTATCTGCAATATGACGAACATGGACTTTTTGGCTTCTAAAATGTCTACCAGCCTTAAATCTGTAATCTTAACTCTTTGCTAGTTCCTTCTAGCCAACAGCAATCTTCCCCCTCAGATATCATATTGCACTTTATATCTCTTTAATGCACTTAGCAGTCCCTGCATATCATAGTTATCTGTTTGATTCTTATATCTCAGCAGGACTGTAAGTTCCAGGAGGGCAGGGACTATGGTGTATCATAGAAACTTTGCTTCTCTTTCAGGCCTGCAGGATACTCTGCACAACATACACACTTCATAAATGCCTGTTTTGGGGGAAAAAAGTTATAAGTGACTATGAGATTATAGGGAGGGAGGAAGGGAAAGGGAGAGGAGAGAAGAAAGTGGAGAGAGACAGAGAGAGAGAGAGAGAGAGAGAGAGAGAGAGAGAG